ATAACTATCTTCTTCACCGTCAATGGGAAATCCTCCTTCTTCTTCGTCATTATCATCGGAATCGATCTCGGGTCTCTGATTTCCTCCCCGCGTCTCGGTATCCTCCTCATCATCGCTCGCTTCTCTTCTCCTAGTTGCCAGGGAACGCTTCAATTCCTCGGGATCACTCTCGTAATCAGCCTCTTCGACGCCATCTGGGGCCATAAGAAACCTGAATCGGAGAAGCACCAAAGAATAGAGCAATCAGTGAATGCATACAGATCCTGGGCAGAAACCTCACTGGAAGAATTAGGGAGGATGGAAGAAAGGAAAAGCCCTATGATAATCGCTGATTGATTCAAGAGAGAGAGAGAGACGATACCAGGAATCAAGCGAGAGATCCGCAGATGAATAAAAACTAGTCTGGGTCTCTTGGTCTTCTTTTCTCACGATTGATTTTTGGGTCTTTGATGAATCGAATGGAGCAGGGCTTTACCAACTTGTTACCGATGCACACAATTATTTTATACTACATTTCTTATTTTATACTTTTATTTATACTACATTTCTTATTTTATTTATTACGGAGAGTTTTCTTTCGATTTTTTTTGGGAATATCCAAGTTATATGCAAATTAGGTAAACCTTATCACTTAATTTCCCAACTATTTCTATTAATTACTACTGACAAAAATGAAGATGTTTACAAAATAAGAAAATTCTTGTTGGATAAAGGAGATGATAACCTAATCAACATACTAACAAAACGTGTGAGATCAAGCAGCTGCTCCTTCACTTTTCCGAGACGAAAATAATGTTCCAATACCACGAAGGAATCTTGTCTCTAAATTGTACTTCTATAATGCCAATTTGGATATCAAAAGAGGTTGAAAGAGATGTATTAGTGTAAAACTCTATGTTGGGATTAATGAATGTTGATGTTGAGGGAAAAAAAAAAAACGTGTAAAACTTACAAATTATTATTTTCCCCCCGTCAAACTATCCTCAAAAATGTAATTATATGGAAGAAAGGAATACTTACTTAATTAGGAGTCAAACAAAAAATTAATGACATTCTAATTTTCCCGAAGGTGCATGTCATGCAAGTGTAATTAAACGAGTCGTTAAACCTCTAAATAGTTGCAATGAAGCAACAAGAAAAATTGAACAAATAAATCGAATTTGCATTTCCAAAGTTGACAAGAAAAAGCAATAAAAGTGGGTAGACGAATTTTGGCGACGGAAAGTGAAGCGAAGACAATGCAAGAAACTATGCGTAGACATAATATATGACTTGGGTCCAAGCTAAGAGAGATAAGAGTTTGAATCAGAAGTCAAAACACATGATCATGGAATATTTCAGTTGGAAAAATATTTCTACATCGGTTAAAAAGGGCTATATAAGAGGGGTTTTTTTTTTTAAATTCTGTATTTATAACCGGAAGCATATAATAGAGGAGAGAGCAGTTTTTAAAAGAACGAAACTCATCTTCTTTCTTACAACTCTCTTTGCTGCCTCTGATGAATGTATCACTTGTATATATCTTCAACAACCCCTACTCCTGTGGTGGTGTTAGAACTGCACAACAAACCAATATTTTTGTTTTTATCAATCACACATTGATAAATAAATGGAACTGATGCAAGAGATATATTTCATATCACAAGTGCCCTGCAGATGCAAAAGAAGCAGAGCAAATAATAGAAACAAGTGTTGATATGTTTTAGAGCAGCATGCATTGCGTCTTAGAATCAATTAATCACCGCAAAATTTGTTATAAGGCTGATGGGGTTCCGTTACTAATCATACCCCATTGTTCTTCAGACTCGTTCCCATTAACTAGCACCGCACCATCTGTAGATTCAGTGTCCACCACAACAG